CTTTTTTGATGTGGTGGTCCTGGTCTGGAATAAATAGTCAATACTTATCTTATTTGAGACACAATTATTGATGGTGGCATAGGCATTGGAAAGCTGGTTGCAGCTGGAGAATTTCATTGTTTCCAGTCCTAGTGTTGGAACTTTATTTCTTGGAAACTAATGCAGGCCTGAACCAAAGCTCTTACTTTCAACCGTCGCTTAATGTTTTAATGGGTTACATGAACAATTAGAATAGTAGAAGCATTTGCATTGGCTTGGTTGGTTAGTTGGCTGGCTGGTGTATATGTGGGATGTGGAATCTACAAAGTTCTAGGTTATGGACATCATGCTTCACTCAAATATGCTTATCCTAGATTACATGTCATCAACTTTAGAAATGTTCAGATATTTCGTAAAAATCATGCTCTTGATAAGTCCTAAATCTAGTCTCTTGACATTTTCTGACATTCAGCTATACAATCAAGTGTCTGGAGCGATTCAATTTTCTTTGCTTGCTGAATTGTTAGTCAGACTTAAATATGTACATGCAGTTTCACTTTCTTGATGTTGATGCTTTGTTTATATTTCTTGAATAAAATTACTGTTCTTTCAAGGATTTGGTATCCTTCTTTTTATGCAGGAGTATCCTCCTGGTGTTAAACTTATTCCCATGGGAAGCCGAACAGCAAAGCCTTTCCACACTACAAACTTAGTTGTATTTTTTCCTGGGACTAGTTATGATGGCTACGATGGTGATAGTTTTGTTACTTGTGGAGATGTACTGATTGTTGATCCAGGTTGCAAGTCTACTTTGCATAAAGAGGTAAAGTAAGAAAAAGAATAAAAAACGAAAAGAGATGAATGATGTATCACTTTAAACATTGAATTGTACAGACTTATAATCCTTAAGAAAATGGCTACTTTTTGCATGATCCTTCCTAATTGAAAATATTTAAAACAATTGTGACAAACTAGCATATATTGATTAGCAAATGATGGGTTATATTTGAACTGTGAACTCGGTGCCTGCTTGAGAAATTCAAGAATCAGTTCAGTTACGTAGTCCTTGTTTTTAAGTCAGCTGTTGTTCTTTGGTTTCAGAGTGGTTCAATTTAGAAAATAAAATTCACAATAATGATAGTAATATATTTCCCAATTCAGCATTTGCTTGTGTTTTGAGTGAGTTACCAAAGGAAATATTACCTTGGCCAAATCAATGACTGTATTGACATTCTGCAGTTCACCTTAAACTGTCATCGGGAGAGAACTTTGCAGAATGGATATTACTTTTAGTTAGTAACGAGTATTGCTATTTCATTAAAACTTTGTAACTAAATCAATCTTTTATTTGATGCTTTGAATGTTTACCCAATTACTATTAATCATGCCATTTTGTTCTGCTTTCTCTTGCACTGTCAGCTTGAACAAATCATTGCTGCACTTCCACAAAAGTTGATCGTGTTTGTAACCCATCATCATCATGATCATGTTGATGGTAAGCATTTGAAAATAGAATCTGCAACTAGAATTCTCACTTTGTTTAGTAGTCTTTTCATTTTCAATTTTTTTTTATGTGTAGAAAATTATGATGGAGGTGTTATCCACTCCTAAATAATTCTAAAATGGATATAAAAGAATTATATAGGATGCAATCATAATTACCACACCTGTTAATTAGTTTTTTTTCCATTTTTGGGACTCGTTCTGGTTAGCTTTATTCTCATCTTCTCTGATGAACTGGTGAAGGCTCACTTAATTTTCTTGATAAGTACTTTATCGATTTTCAAAATCATTTTACAACTGGGATAAGTTTTCTAGTCCCCACATCATTTGTTTATGTACTGAAAAACAGAGATCATATATCTTTTATGTATATGGTCATTTAATTGCACTGATCGCTCTCAGGTCTCTCAATTGTTCAGAAGTGCAAACCTGATGCTGTTCTCTTAGCTCATGAAAGTACCATGCGCCGGATTCAAAAAGGTGAAGATGTCAACCATCTAATGTATGCTATGTGACTATTGATAGAACCACAAATGAAAATGCTAAGTCCTCTTATGAAAGACCAGGTTTTTTGCGAAATGCCACTTTTTTAATTGCAACATCAAAGCAATTGATTTAAAATGCCAAGCTGAATAAATTTCAATTCAAGGCTAGAATGCAACCCTTTCTTTACTACACTGTTGGGCTTATAGACAAATGGACTCTTCAAGAACAGAAGACCCTTCTATAATGAAAGTTTCCAATTTAAAAAATTTAGCTAAAAGATTTTATCGACTTTAAAAAATTATTCTTGATGGTACATGGCATTGATGAGTGCTCCAGTGTAACAGCCGAAAACTTTTGGAGTTTTGAAGATAATTTCTGAGTAAAATGTCTCAAATGAATGATGTAAGATTCTGTTTTGAGTAAAATAAAAAGGTTTCAAATTATTTGTAATCTTAGGGAGACATTGAGTGGTTAGATCAAAAATATACACAGTCAATAAAGTTAGAAAACAGAAAGATTGGATTTTCTTTTGATTCTGGTATTATAAACAGGAGATAATTTCGTGAATCCAATTTTTATGATAGTGGGGGGGGGGGGGGGGGGGGGGGGAAATTGGGCCTCCAAGGCGAAAGCGCGCTAGCCGCATA